AAACCAAATGTGACATAACAGAACAGAGTCGGTCAAATCAAAAGGGTGGACATAATAGATAATATAAAAACATAATACAAGGTGATCAACAATGGTTACCATAATGGCTCCCACTATCTCAAATAGAATTACCTACATCATCAGTTATAGTAAAATTGAACAAAACAGTAAAGAACGAAATCAACAAAACCAAAACATGGGAAACATTACAGGTCTTCAAAAGTAGATAATAGTCAACCAGAATGGGCGTCATAATGAATCCCACTATCTTCACATCTGTTGCCTAAACTTTCAAACCTGATACTATCAAGCAAAACAGAATAGAGGAACATCAGTCAAAACAAGATGTGGAGAGCAATATAGGGTTTCAAATCAAGTTAATAGAAAACCCAAGTGGGTTACTATAATATATCCTATTTTTTTATTTATTTTTCCCTTAATTAAAAGGATAAAAATAAAAAAGTAAATAATAAAATGGAGATTAAGATAAAAGAGGGCATAGCAACAAAACAGCACAGATCAAAACATAACCATTTAAGCAAAATAGTGTTTCATCACAAGATAATCCCGACATTAAAGTAGGTACTATACTGTCTCTTTCCTTGCAATCTTTGAGTATAACTTCATATACTGTAGCATAAAATATATCAAAACAATGTAAAACCATTCAAGAGAATGACAGTATTACAGGGTATTTAGAATCAACTAACAGAAAATTAACAATGGTTTCTGTATAATCTCCTTGTCTATAAAAGTTTTTGTTTATACTATCACATATAATAAAATCCAATAGATACAACATGTTAAGATCTATGGAGACAGAAGAACAAAAGCTTGATGGGACTTCAAAGCAAGATGATATTAAATCAGCATTACCCATTATGACATCATTTTCTCCAAAATAGCTGTTCCTATCATCCAATCTCCTCTGCCTCATTTCTGTTGAGCTCTTTTTCTGTCATTATTTGTCAGTTTTCCCTCTTCATTTTGTTTTCTGCTCCATTCATTTTGGCCTCTCTGCCACTATTTCTGGAATCTTCGTATTTTTCTTTTTTGGAATATCCTGCAGTATTCCCTGTAAAGTTGAATTGGTGGTTGCATTTTCCCCTAATTCCTCTTTATCCTGGAAGTACCTTGTTTTTCCATCAATTTCCAGGGATAGCTGTGCAGGATATATCAATCTTGGCTGGAGGTTATTATCTTTCAAAGCTTGAATTATTTCCCCCCACGCTCTTCGTGATTTGATGGTTTGTGCTGAGAAGTCTGCTGTAATTATGATGGGTGTTCCCTTGTAAGTGATCTGTTTCTTGTCTCTGACAGCTTTTAATATTCTGTTCTTATATTGGATTTCAGGAATTTTGATTATTATATACCTGGGTGTAGCTCTGTTTGGGTTGTAGGTGGCTGGGGTCCTGTATGCTTCATACATCTGAGTATTTTTACCTTTTGCTAAATTAGGAAAATTCTCCTGGATTATTTCTGTGAGTAGCTTTTGTAATTCATTTGTTTGTGTCTCTACCTCTTCTTTTATGTTCTTAATTCTTAAGTTATAGATCCTCTTATCATCTTCCAGTCTTTGTATTATTGCTGTTTGTTTCTTTGTTATTTTTAAGAAGTTTTTCATTTCATGCTTCCATATTACAAATCTGCCCTCCAGTTCAGACAATATATCCTTAGTTTCTTTCAAGCTGTTATACCAGTTTTCGATAGAGTTTTTAGTTTCTTGGTAATCTCTTTGAACCTGCTTCACGTATTCTATGTTTTCTCTATTTTCTCCATCAAACAATTCTCCCCCTTTCTTTCTGTTCTTCCATTCCACCATCTGTTTTTTCTTGGGTGGTGCTTAGCATTTCTCTAACTATTCTGCTTATGTCTTGCTTCAGGTCATTAATAACTTCATTCCTGAACTTGTCTATGAGGCTCTGGAGAGAGTGCTTTATGTCTATTGGTGCTGTGTCTGCTATTGCCTATTTCTCAGGATTGGTGGCCGAGGAGCCTTTCTTGTTGCTCCCTCTTCCCATATTTTTTGTTCCTTATATACAAGCGTATTTAGGAGGCCCAGCTTCCTTCCCTGTCAGCCACAGTCTGTTTGAATTGCGCCGGCTAGGTGTTCCCCCCGACCGCAGTGCACTGGGGAGTTAGACCAGGCACCCCATGCAGGGCCTGCCCCTCCAGGTCAACCTACTGAAGGCTTCACCGCTAGGGTGCACCTCCAGGCACTGGGAGCTGGGTTATGCTAGCCTACTGGGTCTGAGCCAGCAGCGTCACATAGGCTAGGCACTGCTCACCAATCCTGTTTGAGAGGGGCATATGTGACTGAAGTCACTACAATGCCCTGTTCTGGCAAGTCTGCCAGGTCCCAAAATGTCCTCTGTTGGAACCTCCTAGATTGTGAAAGAGTCCCTGTTTCCCTCACTCACCGGAGGTCGATGCACGGCTCTCCACCTGTCCTGCTCTCAACTCTGTTCACCGATTCCCGTTCTCAGAGCTTTCACGCGTCTCTCTCCCTACTGAGCCGATTCAGATGCTGCAGTGGCGGCAGGAAATTCAAATAGCGGCTTCTAATGGCCCGGGCTCCAGCTTCCACACTGTCGCTTTACCTGTTTCCTGTTATAGCACCAGGATTGCATTCCCAGTTGGTTTCTCTCAGCCCAGTTCGTTCTTGGGTCAACAGGGTATATCTCCTCTTTCTTAGGATTCCTCACTGGGCACCATGCCTGGATTCTAAGCTGGGTCTCTCAGAGAGCCTCCATAGATGCTGCTATCTGTCCACCATGTTCTCCCAGAAGTCCGATTGATTTTCTTGTTGAAGCATATAGGAGTTGGTGTGTATATCAGAAGTTCTAAATTCATATGTTCTACCACAGATAGAAAATATTTTAAAGAATTAGGACTGTGCTCATTATGTACAGATTTTTTCCTTGTTGTACCCTCAGCAAAAATGCATAACAATTTTTACATAGTGTTTACATTGCATTAGGTATAATAACTAATTAGCTAATTCTGAGATACTTGTAAAGTCTATAGGAGGATGTATAGGTTATAGGCAAATACTGTCATTCAGCATAGGAGACCTGAACATCTGTGGATTTCGTCTGTTCAGGATCAGGAACCAGTTCCTGGAGAGTATCAAGGGATCACAGCACTTGTTGGAGTAACTCCTATTTGGTCAGGATGTAGAGTCATTTTAATGTACTGTTATATTTGGTTTGCAAGTACTTCATTGATACTTCTTGTATTGCTATTCCTCAAAAATATTGGTTTGTTGTATCTTTTGTGATTTTTTTATATCATTTTATTTTGAGAATAATGATGATTTTATAGAGTTAACTGGAAGTACTCGTTCCTTAGCAATTTTTTGGAAATGCCTGTATTTGTACAACATTAATTCTAATTTTAATGTCTGCTAGAATTTTCCAGTAAGAGCGTCTGTCCTTGAGTTTTATGTATTTGACTGTCTTTGTTACTAATTAAATCATTTTATTAGTTAAACATTTGTTTATATTTTATTTCTTTGTGATTCAATCTTGCTTGTTTGTATGTCTAAGAGCACTGATTCTTTTTCTGTTAGATTTTCCATTCTGTTGATATGTACCATAATAGTACTCTCTTGCATATTCCCAGAATACCAACACAATGTTTATGTTGAGCAATGTGTGCTTTAAGAAAAAAGAAAAAAAATCATCAGTGGTTGATTCAAGAAATATATAAAAGAAAACCTAAGAATATACCTTTTTGGGGAAAAGAGGCAAAAACCCTGGATATTAATGTAGTGTGGAGAATCAGAAAAATAAATGCCTCATAAAAGATAACTTTGTATAGAAAATGCTACCATCCATAATAAATAAAGAATTATTTGACAGTCTTGCTTAAGGTGTTGGACATGTCAACTCATTATCCATAGGAGTTCTGTATGGCTGTGTGCTGATATTCTCTTTGATTTAATACACTAAATCTTAGCTCTTCCATTATGCTGGAAAGTTACCATAAAAGTAATAGTGAACTGGCAACCTACTTTCTAGTTTCCAAATGATATGGATTTATGTCATATACAAATGATATACTTACAAAGCTTTAAAATATTTTGTTTAGAAATAACAATTTCCAGTCATAATATGTTCAGTCATAATAATGATCCACTAAAATTTATAAAGTGAGCAAAAAGGGGGTCTTGTCAATTTTAAGACTGAAAAAGTGTGAATGATTTTGTACATTTGACTCTTTCAAACTGTACTGACCCTATTTACTGAACCTAAAGCAAAACATCTAAAGTTCACAGCTGATCTTAGATTTTACTGTTTGAGCACAAAGCTCCATATGTCACCTATTATGTTGTTAGTTGCATCTGTGTACCAGGCTGATTTGACTTCATCAGAAGGTTACTGACTGATCGGTGTTCAGTGTCAGTAATTACGGATTTTAGCTGTCACTTCCTTTCTGCATTAGACTATTCAGCAAGCAACAATGAGTGGAGAGACAGGGCCACCTGCTGAGAGAAGTGGAGATCAGATAAAAGGAATTAGCAAACTAGACACCAATTGTTAAAGGGATATCTGGTTCTTTGAATTTTTGTGCAACTTCACGAATTCTTAAATATAAAACTGCTGTTTATATGCAAGTTTGAACAGTCCTCCAGTACTCATAAAGAATAAAAACACTAGTAGAGGATGCCTTGCTCTTGGAAATAGATATTATTCTGGAAGGCTATTCTCATAGAATAAATTAGCAAAAGTTACTGAGAACTAAAATATCTCTGTAAGTGAGTATGCAATAAACAATACTTTAATAAAGTGCTTATCTCAAAGACACTTTGTGTGAATACATTAGATACATTTATAAAAATTTGTAATATTGAGATGTGAATATAAATCTAGTCTCCTAAAATTATATGTATCCAACTATGCATGAATAATTAATATGTAATTTTTTTACACTTTATTAAAAGTATACAAACATTTTTTAAAGACTTGAGTTATCATAAAAGTCAAGACTAAAACTGAATACTTACCTGGCAGGGGAGATACCATGATCACAAAGATGGTTTTCCCAGGGCAAGGCTTATCCGTTGCACTTTGAGTGTGCTGATGCTGTAATTCCCTCAAATGTGGAAAACTCTACTGCATATTTTGTGGTGGTAGAGCGACTGTGTTGATGCTTTCCCATGGGAAAAAATGACTAAAACTGCAGAACACAAATCCTTACATGGTTATCGGAGAAGAGAATGTTATTGTGTTTGGTCTGGCTCAACTGTGAAAGCAAGTTAAACCATATAGGAAATTGTATGGAGGCTCCTCTGAAAACTAGGAATAGAATGACAGTATGATCTGGCACTCCACAGATGAGTATATATCCAAAGGAAGTAAATCATTTGTCAGAGAGAAATTAGGCTCTCTTGTTTACTGCAGGGCTGTTCTCCAAAGCCAAAACATGGACCAGCCGGCCTGCCCATTGACAGATGAAAAGGAGGGAAAAGCAGCATACTTACTCAAAGAATATTCAGCCATACAAATGAAATTCTGTCATTCATAGCAATGTAGTTAGAACTTTAAAACATTATGGTAAGTTAAATAAGTGAGGAACAGAATGAGAATACTGCATGTTCTTAATTATATGTGAACTGAAAAGTTGTTCTCAAACAGGTAGAAAATAAAACGAGGTTACCTGAGCCTAGAAAGTGTGTGGATGGAAAGAAATGCAGAGAAGATGGTTAATGGGTACAATTGCAGTTAGCAGGAATAACACTAATGTTTTGTAGTATTGTTGGATGGTTATGACTGACAATAGTTAATTGAAAATTTTCAAAGAAGCCAGAGAAAGGCTTTGTTCCCAATTTAAGCAAGTACATTTGACCTTATAATTACACATTGTGTATACACATGTTGAAATGCCACACTGCACTCTATGAATTCATAAAAATATTGTGTCAACTTTTTTTTTTCCAAAAAGGCAATTGCCATGTCATAGTTCTTTATAAAAAACCTGTTAGGATAATATATGGAGGGGTACAGTTGGGACAAAATTAGCTTAACAAGTAGTTGAACATCTCCTTATACTGTGTCACCAGATGGATCTCTTTTACATTGTATATATAATATCAATAACTAAAATTTTAACTTAATTAATGGCACTACTTTTTAAGAAGTCTTTTTTCGGTTTTGTTGTATAAATTCTATAGTTTCATTCTCATTATGAAAAAATGATCATAAGAAATTGTTAGTTTAAGCAGCAATGTTCTAAATACGTTTACATATATATTGATTCTTTTAAATTTTTATTTATTTATTTATTTTTTGGTCTTTTTCGTTTTTATCGGTACCGGGGATCGAACTCACGACTGCCTGCTTGCAAGGCAGGCGCTTATGCCGCTGAGCTAAATCTCCAGCCCCTAAATTTTTATTCTTTCAGAAATCCTTACAGGATTATCAGTTTGGTGAAAGTAGCACTCTGTAAATGATTTTTCAGTGAGCCTCAAATAAATAACTAGAAAAATGAAAACATACTTTAAAATCCATGAATTATTGAATAATTTGGAAATGGCAGAGAGTTGATTTACTAAAATGCTTTTCTGGCAGATATGTTCACATTTTAAATGATTAAATTATAAAAATTGACCAAAATAGAGTAGAGAGATCCAGAAAAATACACACACTAACAGCCAAATGACACACGACAAAGTTTTTAGAAAGATGGTAATCCTCTGTAATAAAATATTTAAAAATTTAAAAATGAATAAAAAAGCTCCAAAAGGTAGTGTGAATTTAATTACAGCATCTCTGTAAATTCTGCCAATATAGTCTCACATATATCCTCAGCTTTTATTCTTGTCATCCTTTGGCTACTCTTAATTTTATTCACTTGCATATAAATAGTTTCCCATTTTCCTTTAACAGACTCCTGGAATTTTAGAGATTATCTGGGATAAGAAAAATTTGGAAAAATTATATTTGTGATACTTAATATTCTAATCCAAAACATAAATATACATATCATAAGGAAAGTATATTTTCTTTAATTTATATTATTGCATAATATTTTATATTGAATGCTTAAAGGTAATTCTTTTGTCGTATTTCTCCATGCAGTCATATATTTGTACTGGCCTGCTCTGAAATACCTTGGATATGGTGCTGTACACAGTCAACTTGAACATATTTTACAGTGTTCATCACTTATTTACCAGTCAGTGAACAAACTAGGACTCGATGGTTACTGCCTCTTGCCTTGCCCTTCTTTCCGGGTGAAACAATTTGGTACTGAGGTTTTTGGTATTTTTCCTGGCTTTCAGAACCAATTAAGTATGCATACTAAAGGTACCACAATATTTGATAAATTGTACTGGTAATGTAAATACAGTACTTTTTACTTTCATCTGTATTTCTCATATTTAGGACTAAAATAAAATTTGAATGTTGAACTTAAATTTAATGAGTTTGCTAAATGTATTTATTGAATCTATATGTAGATTCTTTCATTTCTACATATGTAATGCTATCATCTATGAATAATGAACTTTTTATTTGTTTCTCTTTCCCATACTTATAACTTTTATTTCTTCTTAAATTATTGCAAGTTTTTGGCCTTTCAGAAAGTGGTAAAAACAACCATTTTTGTTTTGCTTTACATCTGAAAGAGAAAGTATTTGATAGTACAACATTTCTTATTATATTTTTGCTGAATTTTTTATAATACTGATACTTAAGTTTTCTTTCTCCTTTTTTCAGGGGAATAGAACATTTGTCTTATAAAAACCATACATGGGTATTTTTTCTCCATTTATTGAAATGATTTTTTTCTGCTCTCTTATTAACTTTACCTGATACGTCTTTAATTAATCATTCTCAATTATTCTCTTTTGGTTTTTATTTTAAATTCTTCTTTGGAACATTTGGTACTAAATCCAAGACATACACATGCTAAACATTTTATTTCTGAGCTATACATTTAACCCAGTTACTCTATTTTAATGTGTTTCTTTGGTTTGATTTTGATTTTACAAAATATATGAATTTTTATTTTAACCAATGAATAAATTAATCTGCACTTATTGGTATGTTAGTTTGAAAATTTAACATATTATTTGCTCTATTTAATTATTCTGCTTTCAATGTTTTGTTATTTTTATTTTATTTTCCTTATTTCTGATTATTGCAGTTCAGATGTATGTGGAAGTTGGTGGACTGAATATTTACCTCAGGAAATTTGGAAGTTTTATAATTTCCTTTTTTAATTTATAGCAGTTGTATTTAAAACTTTTATTACTGTACAAACAATCATGGTTAATAATCATTCCTGAATATTTTTTAGTGCCAGATACCACTTGACTCCTGAATTTTAGTTATTTTGTTATTTAAATTGTTTTGATTTAGTTACAACACATTAATATTAACAATACAAAATTGTACCTAATAACTTTTTGTTTTAAAAAAAAAATTTAAAAAGTATTCATTTGAGGGACTGGGGATTTAGCTCAGCGGCATAAGTGCCTGCCTTGCAAGCAGGCAGTCCTGAGTTCAATCCCTGGTACCAATAAAAACGAAAAGACAAAAAAAAAAAAAAAAGTATTCATTTGAACTACTTTCATATGTATTTCTTTCCTATTCCTGTCTTAAGAAAAATACTATGAACTTGGCTTAAAATAATGTAAATTCATTACACTATAGTTCTTGAGTGTGAAAGTGTACAATCTGTTTCCCTGACAGACATTCAGAGGGTCAGGAGATTGGTTTCCTCCTTGCCTGACAGGAGACCTTGTTTCCTCATCTTTCACAGCTTCCAGAGTCAGCTCACATTTCTTACCTCGAGACCCTTGCAGCCAGGAAAGCATTACTCTCACCTCTGCTTTGAGTAATATAGGTTTTGACTTGACTCCATTTCCATACATTTAACCCACCTGAGTGAATGAGAAAGATCTCACTATCTTAAAACTGATAATTTAATCATGTATGCACAATTCCTATTTTATTTATGTTTTTACACATTCACAGATTATTAGAAATAGAGTGTGAGCCAGTATTTTGTTCACCCCTTCTCTTCTAATTTTTTTCTGATAGCATATTTTATATGTTTGATTTATCTCCTATTATCCTAATTCTATTTTATTTTTTTCCAAATTTTATTTTAGAGAGAATAAACCCAAGCAAAATAAAAGCCAATCAAAACAAGACAGGGTAAGTGACAGAGGATTTCAAAACAAGATAAAACAATGGTTACCATAATGCCTCTTGTCTTCAAAATACCCATACTTTCAGACATAGTAAAATCAAACAAAACAGAAGCAGAAAGAGCCAATAAAAACAAAACAATCAATGCAGTACAGGTGTGGTGGGGCTGCAGTTCATGGTGGCTGCTAACAGCAAGGCAGAAACCTGCATGAGAGAGCAAGACATGCCTTCTTCCTGCCATTACATCACATCCTGGCTCCACCCCTATGTGGGTGTACCACTTACCCCATCAATCCAAGCACTATACAATGAACTAATTACAATGCATAATGTAAATGCATGATGCCTGGGGGCCACCGACATAAACCATGATGTTCTACCCCCGGACCCCAGGACTCATGTACATCCTTTATACAAAAACATTTACTCCATCTCCAAGAGTTGCCAAAGTCCTAACAGTTTCAGCATTGCTGAGAAGTCCAAGTCCCAAGTCTCCTCCAAGATCTATGGGTAACTCTTAACTGTAACATCCAGTACAAATGAAACAAGTTTACACATTTCTGAAACGAAAAGGCACAAGATAAACATTACCATTCCAAAAGTTACACTGGACACAAAGCAAGTCCAACATCCAGGAGGGCGAACATTATATCTTAGAGTTCCATGCTCAACATTTGAAGTAATCTGGTTGCAAGCTCTAAAAGGCTTGGCTGATTCCACACCTATGGAAATTTCAAGGATTTCAGCTCCCACAATTTCTCACTTAAACCCTCTCTGCTCACTCGTTTTTTATTAAAAAAAATTTAAAAGAAGGGGATTAAGATAAAAGAGGACATAGCAACATAACAACACAGGTCAGAACACAACAATTTAAGTAACATAGTGTTTCACAACAAGATAACCTGACATAACAGTAGTTACCATCCTGTCTCTTCTCTAGTAATATTTGAGTATAACTTTGTGTACTATAGCATCAAAGATATCAAGACAGTGTGAAACCATT